CACTGAAAATTAAACCTCTTGTGTGTAATATTTATTTCATTCTTCATATAGCTTTCTTAGGTTAGATTATGAGAAAGAAAAACAAAGATCCCAAGAATATAAGCATTCTTATGGGACTTGATACAGATCATCAAACAATTCACAAACTATTAGGATTTACAGTGTGATCAGAAAGGTATGAAGGTACCCACTTGCGAGTACTATGTATGATTATGAAAATTTGGTAGAAGTTTTCTTGTATTTATTTTTCTTTGTATTAAGAAAATTTGGTAGAGGTTTTTTTGTATTTATTTTTCTTTGTATTAAGAACAAAGGGTCAAAATTTCTACTTTTGGGGTATTCTCCCTCTGGGTGGGGTGTGCATTGGCCTTTGGGAGTCCCAGGACATTTTTCTTTCCGGTTGAACTCCTGATCATATGTCAGATATCCTCAATGACTATCTTATTTGGTTTTGGGAAACTAATTCTAAAGAACAGAAACGGGCCCTCCCTGGTGGTACAATGGATTAGGATGTAGCACTGCAAGTCAGTTGCAGCCTCTTCATTGTGAGTTCGATCCCAGCCCTGGAAATGACCCACAGGGTACAGCAGACCTCTGCTATCTCACCAGCTGCTCAGCAGTGTGGTTTGTCGATCTGCCTGTTCTGCTTCCCACTCTGTCTCTGGTGAATCCTCTCTCCGCCCCTGACCTCTGGCCTGGGCCATGGCATGCGGAAGGGAGGTGAGGTGTGAGGAAGAAGCTGTGGTCACGGTGAATCCACTCACTTCCCATAGTGCTATCATTCTGCAAAGTACAGCTGCCTGCTCTCCTTGGCCTCACAGCAATGCTTCTGTCGTTGTACACTGAGAACTTAGGGTTTCCGTGACACTGAAGGTAGGTAGGCTTAAGCCATCCTAACAGGGGAAAGCAAGGTTGGGAGAGAACTCAGTTTTCTTTCCAAGGGCAGCAACTTGGAGTGGAGCCAGGAGCAGCTCAGGCAATGAGGAATCAACCACCTAAGTGTGGTCTGAGACTCGAGGACAGACGGGTCATTGCACAGGGCCAGGCTCAGACTCAGCCTGACTAGAGCCCAGCCTTGCCTCAGTGCTTTCAGTCCAGGCAACTTAAATACTCCCTCTGGGCTTTAGAAACACTCATTCCAAGGGGCCAGATGAGGAGGGCTGTTTCCACAAGGGTTGGCATGCGGAAATGATACTGGGGAGAGACTCCAACACCACCCCTCAGCTCACTCCTGAATTCTTCACAGGACACTGTCACGGTTCAGCATCACCTGCTACTGATTAGTAACTCACTTCAGAGGCCATGACCTGCTAAACCGAGTAGCTGAAGAGTAATAATTTTCACAGAAACTAGTATATTCTGTTCTTTTTTTTTTTTTAAGATTTATTTATTTATTCATACAGAACTGGGGTACTGGCCAGAGGTAGAGGGGTGGCAAGAAGCTCCACCAGAGACAGAGTGGAGAGCAGAACAGGCTGACTGATGAAGTACACTGCTGAGGGGAGCCGCAGGTGGGTCAGGAGAGGTCTGCCTCGCCATGTGGATCACCTCTGGGGTGGGGATCGAACTTGCACTAATGCAGCTGGGGCCAGCTTGCAGTGCTGCGCCTTAACGTGCTGTGACACCAGGGAGGGCCCATATTTTCTGTTCTTTACAGAACAAATGTAAACAGGGATAGTCTCTGAGGATTTCTGACAGATGGACAGATGCATCAAAAACAAATATCATACATACCATGGGGCCTAATTTCATGCAAACCCAAGAGAAGACATAAGTACAGGAGAATAGAAATTGTATGTCTCTTATCTCAGCACAAGAAAAAAACTCCTTTGACTCTTTTAAGCTGATTCCTACCACTTTTGTTTGTCACCTAGACTTAGGGCAAGGAACAAGTCCTTTTATCCTTTGCTCTGGGTAAAAGCAAATCTGCTGTAACACACAAATTTCAAACCCCAAAGTTTGTTCTCTCTCTGGCAATTAAAAATCACTTTGCAGTAAGGACTGCCACCTTGTGGTCACATGTATAACTGTCACAAGGGAAAATGGACTGCCAGGGCTAACAAAGGTTTCATTTACAGAACAGAGGAATCCCAGGTGGCTGCTAGTATTTTGGTAGGCTGTATAAATTATAAATTTCCCTGGAAAACTGCATTGCACAGGATGTCTTCATGGGACTCCCAATATGTCCCAGGTTAATTTCTTGCTCTACTCGACCATAACAAGATCTGACTGCTGGGAAAGCTGAGTGTGTTCATAGAATCAAGGGAACTTCCTCTTGTTGGTAAAAATCCCCTAGTGTTGGGTCTGAGACACTTTACATGTTCTTTAGACCAAACTGAAACAACAGCTGCATATCCAGACTAAGTTCACTAACTGCCAGATGACAGTCTGACTCAGAGGCCATCAGCTGTAAGACCATCTACCCTGGTGCCACCAGCTGCTCTCTGGCTCAGGCCCTGTTAGATGAGCTGAGCACAGCTCTGTTCTGCCACTTGATTCATGGTCTAGCAGGAGCTTGAGCTCTACTTTCAGGAGGGTGACCAGTCCCATGGCCAGTCACAGCACCTTCACAAGGGTGTTCTTGGCTGCACGCTCATCCCACTCCTCTCTAAGAAGATGGATGGATGGAGGTGTGGGTGTGCTTATGTAGGCAAAGCACATAGCACAGGAGAGTTTTCCAGGGGTACTACGGGTAGCAAAGGAGGATAGGCAAAAATGAAGCTCTCACGGAACCATGAGTATCTACCTACATTAACATCAAATCCACCCCTGTGTTCACTACAGCACTGTGTTCATTCATAGTGGCTACACTATGGATCCAATCTACATGTCCAAAGACAGATTCATGGATGTATACAGTGGAATACAATGCAGCTGTAAAAATAAAGTTAAGCTCCTTTACTTACAATAGGAAAGACATGGCATCAACCCAAGTACCAAAAGTACATGATTGGATTAAAAAGATGTGGTACATATACACAATGAAATATTACTCAGCAATCAAAAAGATAAAACCCATGCCTTTTGCAGCAATGTGAGTGGAGCTGAAGGGAATCATGCTTAGTGAAATAAGCCAGAAAGAAAAAGAAAAATACTAGATGGTTTCACTCATAGCAGGAGCATAAAGAATCCAGGGGAAAAACAATTAATAATGAACAACTATATACCAGAGACATTTTACCGGGATAGAGTGGGAGTGGGATCAAAAATGGAGAGGGGAAGTGCACGGGTGATTTGGTGATGGAAAACCCACATGGATTACAACAGAGATGGAAAAAAGACACAAAGTGATGTAAAAATAAACTATTATAATAAAAAAATAAAAAAAAAAAGATAAGTTCTTGCCATTTGCAACCATGAGTGGAACTGGAAAAGATCATACCAAGCAAAATAAACCATAAGGAGAAAGCAAGTACTGGATGCTTTCATTTACATGTGCAATATAAAGATCAAAGAACTGCAGCTACCAGGAGACAGTCGGAGGTGAGTACCAAGAGGCGAGGGGGCCCAATGGACGGCACTGGGGGCTATGGGTGCTTTGGTGGTAGATACTGTAACATGTCTGTAGAGGTAGGAACCTAAAATATATACAGTATTATAATGTCACCTCGATGCACATAATGTTTAAAAATGAACTTAGAGATAAAAACAAAGAAACTGGGACCCTGTGTGGGAAGCAGAGAATTAGGGCAAGGCAGGGCAGGGCAGCATGGGCCCCTGCTGAGGCTTGCTCCAGGCTGCCTGCACTGACCTTGCTCCCCACTGGACCTATGCAATGCTTTGCCCTACATGGCATACACCACAATTCTCTCTCCGAACTGGTTGTCACCAGCCCTCCTAGCTTCAGAGATGGAGGGCAGTATCCCTGGGCCACTGGGACACCCAGCCTGCTGCTACCCCTCCCTCAGCTGACCCCACAGCTGTGGAGACAAGGAACCTGTCCTGAAGTCATGTGCCCAGAATGCCTTTGACAGCAAGGGGATTCTGGATTATCTGTGACTGACCCCTCGTGCCTTCTCAGGAGTCATCTTCTCTCTTTGTTGACAACAGATGTCCAGCTCTGAGCCCAGTGCAGCTGGGAAGCAAAGTGCCTTGCCCCAGGGAATGAGTCAAGATTGGTGACTGCCACTGCCAGCAAACCAGCGGATCATGTCTAGACATCTGCTCTCCCAACTCTTGCTGCAAAGGGAACAAATGACTCAACACTAGGAGGGTTTTCTCTCCATGATAAAAGTCCCTTGGTCCTCTGTCCCTGTGCTTCCTACTGAGGGTGCTGTGGGATACTAGGGGGTAAAGCTAGGAGGGCCAGTGACAAGCAGTTAGAAGAGAGAATTGGGGCATATGCCCCAATATAAAGGTAAGAAATGCCCTGAGCAGCTAATCCAACTCTAACATTGCTACCATCAGAGAGCTTAAAAGAGAAATTGGTTAAATCAACCACTCCATCCTTTACTGTTTAAACCACTCTAGGGCAGGTATTCTGTTAACTGCAGCTCAAAGCATTCCTTATTGTTCACTGTCAGAGGCTAGACAGACCTGAGTCCCAGGATCAGCCCACAGGAACAAGCCATGGATGCATGACTGAGGCCAGGAGCAAGGCCTTGGGGTGCAACAAATCTGGGGCCTCCCCTACTCTGAATGCTTGTGAGAATCACATGAGAACCATTTCAGCCTTTAGAAGATCCAAGGCCAAATCCACCAGGTGATGCTGACCATGTCTTTCACTCTAGCCTTAGACTTTGTAACCTTCACCCCACTAGAGAACAGTTGGTTGTGAAAACCCTTCCAACTCTGGGACACACAACCTCAGAGAGATCCTTTTCCAGGACAGCACGAGAGGGAGTGGCTGCTTCAGGGTCGTGACTGTTCCCAGACACTTTCCTCTGGTCCCGTGCTGGGAAACCATCCCCAGGCTTCTGAGGCTCTATAGTATGAAGTCACCAACATCTCAACTCTGAAAGAATGGAGACCACTGACTGGAGACTGCAAGTCATACTTACAGGGGTCTGGAAGCAGCAGAATAGCTGCGTGAGGAAGGGGTGGTTCCGGGCCAAGGACAGGATCCTCTTCTCCGTCATTGTGCATTCCACGTCGTCATCCTGCAGGATCACGTCCTTCTTCAGCACCTTCACGGCATAGAGGTCTCCTGTTTCTTTTATTCTTGCAAGCATCACCTGTGGCACCGCAGAAGGAGTGAGCACAAGCATGAGAACACTGTGGTGTCAGGTGAGGGTACACGTAGGGCAGAACAGGAATGCCACCCGGAAATGCATGTAGACATGAACAGGTAACACGCTTACGTTAACCCCAGACTCACCTTCCCAAAGCTCCCCTTCCCCAACACTCGGATGAACTCAAAGTTGTCAATCCCAGGTCGGTTGGAAGAATTCACCCCAACCCCATTTCCTTCTTTGGTGCTCTCCTTCCCCTGTCGTCTTAGAGTGGATCTGGAAACGAGCTTCTGCAAAGAGAAGGGAAACGTCGAATGAGAATAGTGGGTGGGCAAGAAGCGCGACTGGATGGAGACGACCTCAGTGGCCCTCAACCCTCCTGTTGATGTGGGGAAAGGTCAATTCAGTTTGACAAGTGCAAGCTTACTTGCCACTCAAAACTACCTCGACACCAGCTCCTGACTTGTGATTACTGTATTTGGCAAATATTCATTTAAAAACTGTATCTAAGCCCCAGAATTTTGATTTGTTCTCAGATGGAAGTGGACAGAACACAAATGCTTTAACCTGGCATCTGGGCTTCTCACTGGTGGCTTTCTACATAGGTCAGATTCCATGAGTGCCACCTGGTGTCCAGTTCCTAAAAGAACAGTTTTCACATTTCTCCAGAGAATCGACTACCATTCTCCATATACTATAATGATGAAGCAACATTGTTTATACTACATTTTAAATACATGAGATACAAAATTAATGTAAAAACCGGGGAAATGAACAAAATTATGAAGGATAAAATTTAAAATATGTTTAAGGTCACTATTCTACCTAAATACAAATAAACAACGGGCCATAAATACACACAACGGGACATAAATGGTTCATTTTTAAAATAAAATTAACATTTCAGCACACCATTTTTATTTAGCATTTTGTCATGTGTATTTTTCATATCTTTATATGTCCTTCAAGAACATGAGTATTAACAGCTGCCAATGTCCATTTTATGGAAATGTCATAATTAATAATTTCCCTGCCATGAGACAGATTGTCCCCCATTTTTCACTAGTATAACTAATACTAGTGAAGACACCACACCGGCATGCAAATCTTCAAAGCAGGGTTAATAGTCATAGAGATCCTGAAGCAACTCAAACCTATAGCTCTCCAGCCTTCCGCAACTTCACCCTATGATGTGAGCAAATTTTCTACCAGCCTCTCAGTACCTCAGTCTTTCCTACTAGAAATGAAATGCTTTAGCACCTGCCCCACAAGGCACTATGAGAAGTGACTGACCAAACACATAAGGTACTTCACATAATACCCTCAGTGGGTGGAGGCTGAGCGGTGGTTGATGCCCAGGTCACCCTTAAAAAAAAAATGTTGGGGCCCTCCCTGGTGGCGCAGCAGGTTAAAGCACTGCACTAAGAAGCTTAAGCCACTTCCGCATGAGTTCGATCCCCGCCTGCCCTGGAGGAGATCCACATGGTGCAGCAGACCTCTCCTGATCCGCCCGCTGCTCCCCTCAGCAGTGTACTTCGTCCATCTGCCTGTTCTGCTCCCCACTCTGTCTCTGGTGAATCCTCTCACCCTCCACATCTCTGGCCTGTACCCCTGTTCTGTATGAATAAATAAATCTTTAAAAAAAAATGTTAAAGTGTTTGAGTTGAAATTTTTTTTATGTTAAACATTCTTTTATTTATATTTCCATTAACTAAAGTCTTTCTACTCACAAATACTCATTCCATCACATAAGGCATGGTAACCAGCTTGACAATGAAGGTATTATTTTGGTTTGAACATAATGAGCTGATGTGTTGAAAAACTTCAATTACATTACAACCTTGGGGGAAAATCTTGGTGCCAGTCCCTCCTCCCCCAGTTGACATCAATGCATACGGCTAAACACTATGCAACATGCATGCCCTCACTTTCATTTTGTTTGGGGGAAATGTGCTGAAGAAACTAGAGTTTTTATTTAGCGCCTCATACCAAAATAATGAAAATGGGTATGAAAATTACATGTGCAAATGTATAAAATTATTAACGCTACAAAGATACATCATTCCAAAATTACCGAAAAACAATTTAAAGCATTAAACATGCTGGTGTTTAATGACTGGGGGTATTCTGAGAAACAGCGTGCTGATTCCCACTGACATCACCAGCGCCAGTGCAAGTCTATGTACTGCCTCCTCACACCCGGCTGGCGGTGTCGACCTCGGGGGTGCTGTTGAGTGTGTGGTCCGTGGTTGAACAGGCGTTGCTAAGCAGTGCACGGCTGCATGCTCTTTAGATAACTTTCTGGAAATGGTGTTATTTGGGTCAACAGGCTGATTCTGAAGACTTGTGAAACACCATCCACTTGCCTTCTGTAAAGTTCAACCATTGGCTCAGCAAGGGCTCCAGTTTCGCCCTGCTGAGCACAGCCTCCCCGGTGGGTAAAACCACCCAGTCCCACTGGCAGGAGCCTCGTCACAAGGGGACATTACGCAAAGGCATGGGGACCTGCAGATGTGCACGCTGGGGCACTTCTAACACAAGTCACCACCAGGCAGCAGATCAAAGGTCTGACTTCCTGGGGCTTCGGCCTATTTAACTAAATCTGAAAAAAAAAAAAATTTTTTTTCTAGGGCAACATTTGCAATAAACAGCTGTGCGGTAGCCTGAAACTACAAGAATTTTACTTATTCAACCCTATATTCTCGATAGCAAGATAATGCTGGGATGGTTTTTATAGTCCATGTGTGTTAACATTTTCTCCTCCAGGCCTCTGATCATAAGTATTTCAAAGAACATTTTTAGCAGCATGAATTTCACTTCCTCCACTTAAATACTTCTCCTGGTAGGACTGGTACTGGCTAGAAAACTTGAAGCCATTGTTTCTCCAGCTTTATTATTTTTTCTTTAACCCATTGTGCTCTTAGGTAGACTTAAGGGTCCCTGTCTCTTTTTAGCATTGTACTATCAAATAACGGTGGTTTGGGTTTCCCGCTATTCAACAGCATAGCATGAAAGATATTGTGTTCATATGCCTGGTCCTAGAGGTTGTGTCCTATGGTCTCTTTTATTCCCACGGAAGTTTAGAAGCCCTGGTTGCAGGTGGAGCCCCTCGCCTAGACCCATCAAGAGCAGCTGACGGGGGTTTCACAATGTCAGCATCCTGCCTGTGTTCCCACCAGGCAGACCTGAAGGACACAGTCAGTGTGAGATAGATGGTAAATCGCTGTTCTACCAGGCAGGAGCCTTTAATAGAGAGGAAATGGAATGCAGAGTGCAGCATCCTATGGGTTACCAAGAACATGGCTGTAGTGCACTTTCCCTTCTGAAGCACCCCCAGACTTGGGGTCATCAAGTCCAGAACCTTCCTGATGCAGGCATCAAGCCACATCTCTTGGGGTCACAGCTGTGGCCATGCTCTTTCTCAACTCCCTGCAGACCTGTGCAGGGTGGCAGGGAAGTGGCTGAGCTGGAGGGGACAACAGCGAGTGGAGGTCACTCAGGAGGTTGAGATGCAAACATGTACTACTGGGCAAGTGACCCACTCTGCCCACTCCCGAGACCGATAGAAAGGAACTACCATCTGTCGCTGAACTAGGGCGATAAATTCACAATCCATAAACAGAAATTGCAGGCACTGCTGGGTCCTTGGACTGTGCAGGAGCTGTGAGCCCAGCCCCTCGTGAGAGGAAGCAGAGGCCAGCAGCTACTGGTCAAGATATGGGGCCCAGCCTGGAGCACAGCCCAGGCCTGGGGCTTCACGCTGCACCAGACCTCATGGATGGAAAACTGATTTTTACAAAACTCCTTCTGCTTCCTGCCCTATCCACATGCTTTTGTTCTTTTTCTTTTTCTTGTCATACAACTGTGTTAAGAATCTTATTTGTGAAACAAAATGCTCACTACAAAAGCAAGAAGTCTGTTTACCGTGTTCACTGAGATTGGGAACTTTGATTTTTCCAGTGCCTCTAAGCAGGTTTTAATTCTAACACATGAAAGAGGCAAGAAGGCTCACCGAGGTTGGAGAAATGTTCCCAGGTTGCAGGCCCATCCCTGCCAGTGTCTTTGCCAGCTCCGCTGCGTTGACCCCACAGTTCGGGGCCACGTTGGCCTGACATCGAATGTGGACATTCATCTTGCAGACTGGAGGAGAGAGGACAAAGGAAGCCACATTCAGAAAGGAGCCAAGTCAACAGGTGCTGCAAAAAGGTACGTTGATACCCAGAAAGATTATGGCAGGGGGCTGTGAGGGAAAGCAAGGCCAGCTCAAACAACTCAACTTACACGCCTAACTCACCTGACATGCTATTTTGTGCAGAAACACAAGACCAGCTACACTGAACAGTAATGTATCCGGAATACATTTTTTTCCACTGTGACCTATGAGAGACATTCACCTAAATCACACATAGCAGTCATTGCTGATTTAATAGCAAGACTGGTTATGGAGATGAAAACGTACGTCACAGTGACCGAAGCATCAGTTAGGTAAGAAAGCATCGTGCCAGCTGATGCTACACTCTGCCTTAGCCTTCCACCAGGATAGCAACCTACAAGCCACACGTGGGTCGCTGCTCACACAGAACGGGCCTGGTGCTTCTTGGACAAAACTCCCCGAGTCAAGCTTTCTGTCTGTGGTTAAAGCATTGTTGTGGTTAGGCCAAACTCACAGCAGAACCCAGCATCCTGTGGGGCTGTGGTTCTGTGTTCACAGTAAGTGGTTCTAACTGCTTCATGAAGGAGGAAGAAGGCAACCATTTTAAAGGTCAAAGTAAACGGCAGTTGGGAGATGAGACCTGGTACACAGGAAGCTAACTTGGGGCGATGAAGGACCCTGAGTTTAATCAGCAGAAAGTTCTGAGGATTCTTTGACCAGGACCCTTTCATGGGAGATAGTGCTGAAGCAGCCAGAAACTGTCTCTGCAGTACCAGTTTCCCTTTGCATGCCCAGATTCCTATGATATAGGGCACCCTCTGGGCAAGGAGGGCAGCTCCAGAAGATTCTCTTGCATGGGATGGGCCCTGAGGCTTAGACATTTGGTTTTCTGGGAAACCTAATTGTCTCAGGGAGGCTGGCACAGATGGAGACACACAAGCTAGAGTGGACTTTCAAAAATGTGACAATAAAAGGAAAAATTCTAAGAGCCTAATCATTGCAAGCGTGCTCCCTCAGGTTACAAGGGAAGGAGCAAGGCAGTGGAGGCGGGTGCAGGGCTCAGAGTCAGCCACAACCCTGCAAAAGCAGAAAGTGACTTTCACGCTGGGATCCAGACCCAGCTGAGACCATGCAGACGCATGCAAGAAGTGTGTGTGTGTGCGTGAGTGTGCATGCATGCACATACACACATGCATATGCACTGGCTGCTGTTTTGGTTACATGAAAAAAATCACAAAATGGTGTTCCAGAGAGGGGAAGGAATTTTTGCCTTCTTAAAACAAGCAACTCATCCATCTTTGACAGAAACAGGCTTGGTGAGCCAGAGTCGACAGAAGCTCTACAGCTCCATGCAAGCCACCTCTGCCTCCCCCATCACTCAGGATATGTCTAAGGCTTCAGGCTGAATGCCACCTGCACAGTGTAGCCCCTGACAGCCAGATTGTTACTGTAACACCCAATGGGAGGTGGCTCCAAGTCAACAGCATGCAGCTGGGAACAGGACGGGGCTCAGCCCTCATTCCCAGCAAAGGCAAGAACTCCACGCTCCATTGGGCACAGTTAGTGCCCAGAGCCAAAGCTTAAGCATTCTTCCTCCCAGATCTACCAGTTCACTTTGAGAAGATTTAAGATAGGTTTAGTTATGCTTTTACCCAATTCCTGCTTTTATTCTGGTGGGGCCCTCAGACCCATTCTTCGGTCAGTTCTTGGTCAAAAACCACCCTTCTCCCAGTCACCTCACCTTTTACTACTTCTAACCACCAACTCCCACTTGTAACCCTCATTCCATTTTTCCTTCTTTTGAATGCCTATTAAAATACAAAACGAATGGCCTGTGCTCAGTGCTATCTAGAGACTAGCCAGCTACTAGCTAGCACAATGAATTTAGAAACTGATTTAATTTCTATGTTTAGGAATCTGGATCTGTCAATTGGCAAAATACCTAAAACATGGTTCCTAAGTCAGATTCAGAACCTACAGAACTTGGGGAGCTCTCAGCAGCCCCTCAGGGTTCTGACAGAGTAGTGGGTACCCAGTGCCCCAGCCTCTCACTTTTGCACTGAAGTCCTTGACGCATTATCCCCCAGAGCAGGGAGCCACAGTGATCGCAGAACGTGGGCACTTTGTAGTTGTGGACGTTGAACTTGTGTGGGATGTTGATTCCAAATCTCTGTTCAGCAATCTGTAAAAAGGGACAGGAGGACAAGAGCTAACCATCCATAACAGCATCTTTTTGTAAAAACTGTAATAGAAGCTCACAAATGCAAAGTGTGATTACACACTGAAGCTGGGTCTATTATGTTATTTACTCAGCCATGATTAATTACTCAGGCCTTACTAACCAGACTGAGCACACTTTTAGTGAGCAAGACTGGACAAAAACATGTAGTGTGCGATTAGACTGTTCATCATTTGGGGAGATAAATTAAAATTGCCATCTCATCCTTTATTTCTCTCCCTGTCAACCCCTTCAGACCCAAGTCTACTTCCTAGGACCTTTTTATTTTAACATTAAATAGGTCTTTTATCAGCTACTTGTACTTGCTATTGACATAAGTCCTACAGACACTGGGTGTAGGGGGTGGGAGGAGGGCAGCACCCAGGGGGCAGGAGCCACATTCCAAAATGACAGACCAGTGGCTCCCTATTCAGCCCTTCCAGCCTTTGCCTGGTGTTTGCATCCTGACCATCTGAGCACAAAGGTCCTGCTCTAATGTCACATGTTGTCTCTAGCAGTCAGACCTGCTCAAAGGTCCACAGCACAAAGTGAGACAAGAAGCACAGATGTGAACGTGACAAGGGGCAGGAAATTATCACTCCCCTTGAAACCTCGCAGCCTCTTTCTCCCAAAAGTTGGGGTGGCTGCCTCTACACGTCATGCTCTGCAATCCTGTATATGTTCTGCAAAGAACCGCTAAGGGTCAGAGTCAGACGTTCCAAAGCATCTGTAAATCCACTGCTAATTACCAGCACTTCGCCATCTGAAGTCAAAACGCACGCCCTCCCCAGCTGACGGCAATGCGAGGCATGAGCGAGGACCCAGGACTCATGTACAGAGGCAGCCCCTCTCTCAAATTTCTCCAGAGGCTGGAGGAGGTGAGCAGTCACCTTATTTAGGAACAGTGACCAACTTACTTGTCATATCGACTCTATCTTGTTTAACCCTCACAAAAACGGAGGAAAGTACAGATTTTAAAATAGAAGCTTAAGGAGGTTGTGGGCTGTGTCTGTTCCAAGGAGCTAGCTAGCAGAGGCTGGATTCTGCATTCATCCAGGCCACCTGCTGCCAATCTCAGAGCTCCTTTCACTCCCACGAAGCTCTCTCCAAATGAACAGGACTGGTCCTTATAGCTTCCACCCAGATGGCCACCAAAGGGGCTATCTCAGCAGAGGTCATGCTATATAAGCGTAGAAATACAAGGGGCATGATATGAAAAGGGGACACATTTCCAGACGAGGACTACTGCAAGCTTCCAGGAGCGTGGTAAGCATGTTGGAAGAGGAGGGAGGGAGAGAGAGAGGGAGAGGGATAGGGAGGAAACAGGGAAGGAAAGAGGGAGGTAGAGCCAGGCACTTCATCAGCAAGCTGCTATCCTCTTACCTTTGAATCCACTTTGTTAATATTGTTTTGGCAGGTGCAGGCTGTAACAATTAGATGATGGCAGCGCTTATGGACGACACAGGTGCACACTAGGAAATCAAATCCAGCCATTACACATTTATCACAGACTCACAGCACAGCCAGTTACCAGTCAACAAGGTGTGCACCCCGCTGGCAGGAACTGATTTGTAAGTGGGGTACACGTGATGGATGCTCCCATCCTTCATCCTTCACCATCATCCTAACCCAGATCTTTGCTCAAGTTCAAAGTGTCTGTAATAAAGTCCTGAGTTTATTTCATCCTTCCTGGCTTTAATACTTCCTGCCCCATCTCTAGAAGAATTTTCTCACAGTAGGATTCTGGTCAGCTCATACCATGAGACCCAAGTGTATTACTTCAAAGGCATCTCACTGCCAACCAATAAAAATCAAATTCCCCAGTCAGGCTCCAGGCTTTCCAGTGGCTATCCCAAGCTTGTATATCACCTTCCTTTGGGAGCTCTCTATTCCAATAAAAACTAGGTAAGTTGCCCTTCCTGGAGCAAGACTCACCTTCCCACACACACTGTGTCTTTCTCACAATCTGGAATCTATCCTCTTTGCTTATCATCTAACTGAAAAACACAACTTAAAAAAATTTCTCTTCCATGAAAACCTTTTCCCTGGCTCCCCTTCTAGACTGAAACTTTCTCTTCATCCTCTGGTCTCTTGGGAACCTTAATCTGCACCCCTTGTTTTAAATCTTCCTCTCAGCACCCTCAGAGTGCCCAGCCAGCATGATACCTTGAACAAGGGAAGCATTCATTAAATATCTGCAGATGATTCAACCATGTGAATAATTTAAAACTTTCTGAATAACATCTTCATTTTTCATCTACATCACTGAAAGGACAGACAGTCCTGTATGCCATTAAACATGTACATGTACAATGAAGCAGTATGAAACTGCATCATTTTAAGATTTTTCAAACCATGTGAATGGCTTACCATTAAGTATATATAAAGACAGATGACATGTCAACAAATACTATACATTAGAAAAAATCTAGTTTTCAACATTTCAAATTTTTGGGAGAATTTATCAATAATTGAATATAACCAGGTCATTTTATATGAGGACTCTTCATACAGAAAAAAATCTTATATTCTGAAGCACTTCATTTTCCTCCCTCAGTTAACTTTGATAGAGATTTAACAATTTTATGGCTCTTTTCAAAGAACCTGCTTTTGACTTAGTGAATTTTCCTAGTGTTTTTCAATTTCACTGATGTCTACTTTAAATCAGAAATCTTGTTTGTTCACTTTAAGCTTAAATTTCTGTTTTCTGGTTTCCTAAGGTGAAAACTTACATGTTTTTAATTTGTAGAACCTTCTTTTATTCCAATATATTTGCTTAATGCTATGAATTTGCCACTGAACACTGCTTCCACTATATCCTGCATATTTTGAAAAATATATTTTCCCTTGGTTCAAGATACTTTATTTTCTCTTGATTCTCCTCTGATCCATGTGCTATTTAAACTTTTTTTTTATCTCCAAATATTCTCTTATTAATTGCCAGCTTAATTTGATCAAACTACAGTAATGCTGATCAGATTAACTATATTCTGATGTTCCCTGATGTTCCCTGCTGGGTCTATCAGCTCCTGAGATACTGAAGTTTCAAATTACAATCAATTTGGCTATATCTCCTTGCAGTTCTGTCAGGGATTTTGATGCTCTATTGTTAGATGCATGCATGTTAAAGATTATTAGTCTCCTTGGAGAACTGACCCCCATGTAATTACATAATACCCCAACTTTTCTTTGATAATTTTCCTCCTTCTGAAATCTGCTTTGTCTGTTTGCATTTGATTAGTACTAGCATGGCAGATATCTCTTTCTGGGCATTTGGTTTTATATTTCTTAGCAAGATATGAATAAATTAGTATCATGTGTCTTCTCCAATGTTCTTTCCTGTTCTTTTCACAAGTGGCCCACTGAAAATCAGCCTATCAAATATCCTGTGCTACAGATCACTGAGAGGAAATAACAACAGATATACTTTGTAAATCATGTATTCTTATTCAAAACTATCTTGTTTACCAAGAGGTTTTCAATTTATCTTTGTATATTTGAGATGGATCAGAGGGCATCTCTCCGGCTGAGGAAGTCCAAGCCAAAAAGGGAGGTGAACTCTGACCTATAACTTATACTCTCTTTGGGGGCTGAAATAATAGTATCAAGTCAATTATTACTCTCTTATTGATTATATATTCAATTTTTTTTCTAAATTTGTGGACTCAGTAAATTCATACATTTCAAAGTCAAAATTAGAACCAAAAGCATGTATTAACCTGTCCAAGGAAAATCAGGCTTTCTTCTCCTCATCCTGCATATGTAGAATGTAAATCAAGAAGACAGGTACTATGTGTATAAATTGTATGATGATGCTCAAGGATGTAACAGGGAGGCTCAAGGAAAGACAAGCCCACTATGACTAAATTTCTTTCGTTCATTACCATTTTTATTTCATTTTGCTTCACTTCAATTCTAGCAAGTTGGATTTATTTTAGAATTGTGAAATAAAAATAATTTAATGCAAAGTAACATACAAAATTAAGATTCAGATTTTGAGCATTTATCAAAGGTTTTTAAAAAAAAATCAGAAAATAAAAAAATAAGAGCCTTTATTCCCCATAAAGAGAAAACAGTATAGTGAAGAATTCTCATCTCTACTGACAATGGGATCATAAAAACAAGACTTAACAAGATTCAAGGGTGCTATTCACAAACTGGTATTATCTGGTATTATCTGTTAGTATGTTTGTGTTGTTGCAGAGGAAATTTTCTTAAAAATTAAAGTTTATGGGCTCTCCCTGGTGAGGCACAGGGGTTAAAGCACAGCATTTTGAAGCTCTCCAAAGCCACTATAGCATGAGTTTGATCCCCAGCCAGGGAGCTGCCCCACGTGGCATGGCAGACCTCTCCTGTTCCCTTCAACAGTGCACTTCAATCTGCCTGTTCTGCTCCCCACTCTGTCTCAGGTGAAGCCTCTCACCCACCACACCACTGGCCTGTACCCCAGGTCTGCAAGCATAAATAAATAAATCTTTAAAAAAATTAAAGTTTATTAGGTTTCCTAGATTTAGAAATGAAAACACCCCTTTGTGCTGATTAAAATATGTTAAAATCCAGCCAACACTGGAGAGCTGTGATCACATGGGGCCTGACTTGATTTACAGAGTTATTTGCCACAATGCTTATAGAATGTATTCTGTTTTCCCTAGGTCTAATCATTTTATAATATCAGGACAAGATACAAGATTGAACATAGGTTTAGAAGAGTTTTCTTACCTTGGCACTGATAACCCTGTTTCCCAAAAACTCCCCTGTTCAAGACAACAGAGAAAAAAATTAACATCAAATATCTCAGTAATAATGTTGCAATAAATTTGTCTTAAAAAAACATATTTTATCCTCTAGTCCTTTATGAAAAACACAATTTCAGTGAAGAAGCAAAACGTGTGCTTTTGGAGTCCTTGTCTGTTACCACAGACACAGAGAAATAGCTGATGGAATAGAATGCTCCAGGTGATATAAACAGGTGGGCACATGATTCCCAGACCGCCCACCTCTATGGGCATCTTGCATATCCTTAGTGATAAAAACCCTCCTCTGTACATGGGACTGAGGCAGCCCACACACCACTCCACTGCCTGGTTTAACACCCTTCCACATAACATAATGATGTGCAGAATTAAGCAGATACACACAGTCTCCCACCTGACCTGAGGTCCTCTCCCTCCTCCTATACCCACATCATCCCGGGACCCAAGGGAGAACAGAAGTGGGACACAATATGACTATCACACGCACAGTTTTCCCTGTCTCTCCCTGATATCAGGGTAATGGGGATATTATTCATGCTCTCATTAATGAAGACCACTCTTTAGTAAGCCCAGAGTTTATGCCACACCAAGCCAACAGTTGACCTACATCATCTCAATTAATCCTCACAAAAGCCATGAGAGGCAGCAGACATGGCAAGGGGCTTGAGAGCACAGACTGAGTCAGTCGGCCTGGCTATGATTTGGGTCCCACTGGTATCTTCTTTGAACCATTGTTTCCTCATCTATAAAGGAGGATAATACCAGTACCTCGTCAAAGGTTTTCGTGACAGCAAAAGGAACTGAGAATCTAAAATACTTAATTAATGGCTGGCACTCTGCTACGTAAAAGTTTACTGCAGAAGGAAAATAAAATGTTTTTCTCTATTTTGCAAATGAGGGGATGTCATGGGTTTTGTAGGGAATCTGGGTTCACATATCTATCTGGGCTTGAGACTGAATACCAGAGTCCCTACTCTTACTCACATACAAAGGCTGAGTGTATGTGTGGATGAACCCATGCATGCCAAGGCTGGCTGGGTGGGAGTTGATTTTTCCCTACAGGAAAAAGTTAGTGAAATTACTAGATCAGTTCCATGAAGAATGTTAGTTGAGGCCACAGGTCATCATCACAAATGCCTTAGGGATAGGAAGGTAACAGAAAAGAGGAAGACAGAATCTTGCAACACGAAATAAAAGGCCAATACAGCCCTCTTCAATTCAGGCAACCACAGGGAGAATTGGAGTTAGTTTGCCAGAAAGAGCCGAACACAGTAAAGTAAAAAAAATAAGATCAAAGATGACAAAGCTTGAGTTTGCTCAGTAGAAAGCGTGATAGGACTTTTTCCTGAAAGCAATGGTTATGGCATCTCTGTAAGTAATTTAGGGCATTTGGGTTCAGACAAAATGATTCTTGATGAAAAATGTTAGAAAGATTAAGCCTGGATTCTAAGATATAAAATCTGAAGTAGTCTCAAAAATATATGAAGTAATTGACTAATATTCAGAAATTACTCTGAATTAAGATACTCTGTTTAGATAAGTATCTTAGATATCTAAGTATCTTAGATAAGCATCACAGGTAAGATACTCTGAACTTAGCATTGACTTCACTAAATAAAAGATGCAGTAAAAACAGAGATCTCTTTTGATGCTGCAGATATGAATATGTTGCCTCCTTCTGAGATGTGTTTCTGGATAAGGGAGTAGTTCTTGCTCCGTTTTTCAAATAAGTATGTTTAATGTTGCCACTAATTGAGGAAGCCATTAGTTAAATTTATTTTATAAGAGGTTTGCCTCTGAGTCTTAAACTTGAGTCACGTGTATATATAAGATTGCTCCAAATCATCTCAGGTTTCTCAACTATTAATTATCTTACTTCCTAAATGCCAGAAATCACAGCACATGATCACAAAACCTGTTACCTTCAGCTACATACAACCACACAGAAGACTACTGTGTGCCTGAAACAATTTCTACTAATTTCATAATTGCTTTTCCTCTCTTTTTCAGGAGCTGATTGTATGATTTATTGACTCTATATTCACCAGTTAGCCTCTCTCTGATTTGCATGTGACCAGCCCACGGCTCATTAGCACTTTTACCAAAATGGTTAGGAAAAGAAAAAAATCTAAACTGTAAATTCTCTTGACTTTTTTTTCTCCCACAGGAATCAAAATTCTGGGTAAATATATTAAAGAGGCAAAAATCAGACCCTAAAGCAATTTCTAGTAACTTTACATTCTCCTGAAAACACAGAGCACCAGAGGAGATGAGCCACCAGGGCACTCTTACCAGATAAATTCCCTACAATGAGAGCAGTAGGTTGGCTGCCGCAGGTATGTGGCCATGAACTTGTGTCCGTTGATCTGGTGGACTCTCCTTCGCATCGCCCTTTGGCGCTTCCTAGTAAAATGTTTGAAGATTCGGTCCCTCTGGAGAGTAGCTGGAAATGGAAAAGAAAAAAAAAAAAAAAGATGAATCCAACTGCACCTTTGTATGACAAAGTGTGATAGTTCAAATACTCTCCAAATCATTATTTTTTCTTCTAGATGCACAAAGTTATCATGCTTTTATAGTAAATGACTCAGCTTGAGTTAGGTCTATGTGATGCCTGAGACTCTCACCACATGGCTGTAACTGGCTACCCTAGACCTGTCTCCATGGGTCTCCTCGAGTTCCAATGCTCCAGCGTCTGACATCAGCAGGTCTCCTGGCCCCCATGCAGCTGCTGAGACTCTGGCCCATTGGTAGGCTTCAACTACTGACAGGGGAAGCAGAGTATCTTGTTGTCCCCTTTTAGGCTGCTGTCCTCACACACCAAATAAGGGAAGTGGCCACAGTATAGAGAGTGAGAGAACTGTGCGAGACCAGTCCCAGCATCACCTCTGCAGGCTGGGAATGGGGAGAAATTAACCTGGACTAGGTGCAAAATTTCTTTTTTAACCTTGTATTTTAGAAATCTGAAGTTTTAAAATGAACTTGAAATGACTTCAATGAATTCTAAAATGAATTATGAATTTCCCAATCTGAGGAGAGCTGCACCATCATCTGAAAGCAATCAAGGATATTGTTTATCTAATGTGCTAGAACTTTTCTAAAGTATATAGAGACTGGCAATTAATCAGATTACTACATCAATAATGCTTTTCAGTGAATCACTGGCACAAAGAGAGTGCCAGAACCCTAACCCACTAGGCCACTAGTGAGAGAAGATATAAAGGAAATTTAAGGAATCATGCAAGAATAATTTGTTAATAAATTTTAAGACCTAAGAGAAGTAGAATCTCCATGAAAATACAGATGTATAAAACTAACTGAAGAACTACACAAGCCAAATAGAGCATACTTGGGGAAGAATTTGAGAAAGCTTGCTAAAGACTGATTCTTAAAAACCACCCAGGCCCAGATGGCTTCACCAGTGAATTATTTTAAGTCATTAAAGGCATAAAAAGTGAGAGTGCTTAAACCATTTCAAATAGAGAAAGAAAGAACACACCCATTTTTAGAAGGAAATTATGGCTACAACCTTAGGACTAAAATCTGTTACAGATATATCCCATGATAAGAAAAAAGAATAAAGATTTCATAATCATTTTTATATCATAGACCCTTGTTTAATGTGTCAGAATACAGCTTTCTAATCGAAATATAAAATATGTAAGGTTAAAAAGGAAACAAAGTATGAAAATATATTTTAAATAAGAATATTATTTGCTCTATAACTTAATTAAACACTTAGTGGAAGACCTAATTTTAAAATAGTAAGCTGTATTTAAAAATACCTATAAATACTTATAATTTAATAGGAAAATATGTGATTTCTATTATGACATTGTAAATGCTGCTACTATTACTATAATTTATTTATGAATGAAAGAATGCTAGCTTTATGTTACAGGTTAATGAAAATATAAAAATCAAATTTCTGGATCATCTAAATTCTAGTTACATACTTCAGAAAAAATATCCCTTTGTTCATACATCAAGCTCACTCAAATACTTATGGAGAGGTTTTCATTATTGACATCTGTGTAGTTAAAAATTAAACAGGAAAACATAGAAAATATGAATGAGTATTGTCATTTTATGGGTTTCTATTAGTATTTTATAATTAGTCCCCAACATAAATGTGCCTTCTACTTAATAAAAGAATTTATTCCTGACTACCACATTGGCTTCCTAGTTTTCTGGATGCAAATAATGGTATGTAGTGAATGTCTCAGTTTCAGCATAAACTAACCACAAGGTAAAACTGAAAGTCTTGCAGAAGATGAAGAATTTGCATGCCATCTGTGGAAAGTGAAGCTAGAATGGCTAGAGTATCACCTAGGGTCTGTGACAGATAAGGCAGTAGCAGAGTTAAGATCAAATGACAGCTGAGCAAAAGAAATTTGATACAGATAATGACACAATGGACATTTTAACAAAGAATAATTTGAATATCAACATACTAGGAGATGCAACTGAGAAACAGGTGAAGCGTCAAATACTTGTTTAAAATATCCTATTTAAAACTGTATTATGAAAACCATTAAATCAAATATATAGCATTCTGCTAAAATAAAATTTTGCCTGAAAAAGTTGTTTTGAAAATGAGGGCATATAACAAAATATGTCCAGTGCAACATAATGGCTTTTATAAGTTAGATATTGAAAAGGCACTTGATTAAAATTTGCAATTCAATAAAAAATCCCTTTGAAAAGTAAACCTAAAAGTCTGTTTCTTTAATATGAGTAAAACATTATGCACACATGTCAAAAGCATCAAGCTGAATGGTAAATCTATTAAAAACAGATTAGTAATACAGGCAATAATAAATCAACTAAAAGTCAACAGATATCTAACATATCAAAAGAACTATTTTGAACATCCAATTCAAAAAATCCCACTGAGAGTTATAAAAACTAAGCTATCTAGGAATAATGTATCAGAAGTACTAGATTTTTATAATGAAAGCTATAAAAACCAAATGACAAATATAAAGAGATATGGAAACATGAAGTTCTTAGTTAGGAAAAATGCATAACATAAGAATGCTTTAAACTTGATCTTTATCTTCAAAGTTCATTTGCTATCATAAATATTTAAAAACTGTCCATAAATTTCAGTAAGGGAGGACTTGCTTTGCATGCTAAAACATATGCTGAAGTTACAACAATTAAAAAAAAAAAAGCATGCTACCATCTCAAGAAGAGTCCAAAACTAGAAATCAATTTGGCTAAAAAAAGACATATTTCAAATGGTGAAAATGGCTTAGTCAATACATGGTATGCAGACAACAACTAGGGAGTCTTTTGGAAAATATCTCACTTTATACAATTTCAGAGATACACTAGGGAGCAAATAATAGGGAAAAAAACATAATGAAATATATATATTCCTAGGATGGATTAAGGATAACAAAACTCTAAACCCATAAGGGTTCCATATTTGCAATTTAAAGTTCTATCTGACAACAGATACAAAACAGAAAACTGAAAGACACAAACTGGAGGAAAAAGGATTTGTAGAGACAGGTAAGTGTTTATAATATGTGTAAAGCAGTAAGTAAAAAGATGAACAATCTAGTAAAAATGGGCAGAGGATGTGAATAGGCAATTCATATAACTATAAAAGCAAAGAAGACAATGAACATACCAAGATGTTCAATCCTATTTGAAATGGACATGTAAGAACAAGGAGATGATTCGTTCCTTCAGCTGGCAAATCTTCATAAAGACTGCCCTGGGTGCTCTTTCTTACAAGGGTGTGGAAGTAGGCTCCTCCATCCATACTGTCAGTAGGAGTACAGCTAGGCTCCAGCCCCGACTCCCCACCTCTGGCTGCTGCCCTGCTAAGACTCAGCATTCCCATGTATAAACCAGGCAGACCTTTCCTCACAGGGTTATCGAGGACTGAATAATGTAACGCATTCAAGTGTTAGCACAGAGCTAACACAGTAGCATGCAACACTTGTAGGTATTTCAGAAATAAGCTTTTTTGGAGATGAACTTGACAATATGTGTCAAAAATTTAAAAGTGCGCTTGTGGGCCCTCCCTGGTGGCGCAGCGGGTTAAAGCACTGCACTGAGAAGCTAAAGCCACTTCCGCATGAGTTCGATTCCCGCCTGCCCCGGAGGTGACCACATGGTGTGGCAGACCTCTCCTGACCCACCACATGGTGTGGCAGACCTCTCCTGACCCACCCGCTGCTCCCCTCAGCAGTGTGCTTCATCGATCTGCCTGTTCTGCTCCCCACTCTGTCTCTGGTGAAGCCTCTCACCGCCCCTGAGCCTCTAGCCTGTACCCTGGTTCTGTATGTACAAATAAATAAATCTTAAAAAAAAAAAAAAAAGTGTGCTTGCATTTTTATTTTGAGGTGACATTCCTTCACAACACCCTATGTAACTCAGGGGTATGGACACACCTCTTCAGATACATCTTACCACACCATACCCACCATCAAGGCACCCACAGTCTACCACCACAGTGCACTGGGCCCCTCTCTGCCCTCCCCTCAGCTAGCTGCAATTCTACAGTCAGATTTCTAGGGTTTGTTACTGGTGGGGTCTGTCTGGCCGTTGTTTTGTTTCTTCATAGTGTACATTAAATGAAACCATCTGATATTTGCTTTTCCCCTTCTGACTTATTTCACTTAGCAAAATGCCATCCAGTTCCATCTATGTTGTCCCCAAATGGCAAAATTTCACCATTATTTTAGTAATGAGCAATATTCCACTGTGTATATATCCCACCTCTATCTAATTCACTCCTCTGTTATTGGGCAATAGGCTGTTTCCAGAACTTGGTTATTGTAAACAGGTCTTCAGTGAACATAAGAGTGCCTATAGCTCTCTTCAAATTAGTGTTTTTGTATTCTTCAGGTAGATACCTAGGAACAGAATTGCTGAGTCATATGGTAGATCTATTTTTAATATTTTGAGAAACTTCACACTGTTTTCCATTGGGGCTAGAACAGTCTACACTCTCCCCAATAGCATACAAAGGTTCCCTTTTCTCTAAACCCTCACCAACACTTGTTTTTTTCTGGTCTTTTTGATACAGGCCATTCTTACAGAGTATAGTACTGGAATAAACACAGACACACAGACCAGTGAAATAGAAGTAAGAGTCCAGAAATATAAGCCTACTTTTATGGGCAGAGGTTCTTCTATTACAAAGAAGTCAAGCGTATACATTGGATAAAAGTTGACCCACATGCAAAAGAATGAAACTAAACCACTGTCTAAAACCATATACACAAACTAACTCAAAATGGATTATAAAGATTTGGATGTAACCATAAGAAAAAAGTAAACAGTGTAAACAGAGGCAAAACTCTGCTCCACTGGCTTCAGGGTTCTTCCTTTTGTTTAACAGATACTCTAGGAACAGGCGTGTGTACTATGTGGATATTAATTGCTACATTCTTCCAACCACAAAAACTAGGGTCTGCACAAGAA